AGGAATGTTTTTGGCAGACATGGTGACTACCCTTCATCTGGGTGAGTTCAGTTGATTTGTCTTGAGCCTTTGGGGTTTACACAAGTAAATGACATCATACAGTTAGTGTATTGTTAGTGAATATTAATATATGAGGCAGGCTTTGCTCTAGCAATTTTAGAACTAGTTTTCAGGAAAGGGTTCATCTTGTGCATTGGATGTTTGATTCTATCACTTAGAGTTTAAACTGAAAGTGCTCAAGAGGTTTTATTTAGGCTGGGATATAAATAAGCCTTTCTGTAGCTTGTAATGGTATCAGGAATTTAAAAGGCCATCTGGGGCACAAAGATTAAGCAGAAAAGGTAGAAGGTGAGATTGGGGGACTTTGAGTACTTCACACACTTTAATGTGTGAGTGCTTTAGTGCATATAGTACAACTGCCAGATAAGGGCATCCACATCTGATTGTTTGGAAGGCACCTTGTGGTTTCTGGGAATTCAGAATTGGGAGAAAAAGTGCTCCCAACCGCTGAAGCCCTTGGTAATCTGCAGGGTGTTTATTTAGCAGGAGATAAGGACAAAAAGTTATAGTGTGGAGTTGGTTGAGTTGGTAGATGTCATTACAACAGGTGGTCTTAAATTGGGTTAGGAGTCACTTTGAAATACCTGGGCCATAAGCAAAGTGGCATTTTCACCTTTCAGGAGAAACTGGTACACTTATCCATTCTATAGTGCATGCTTGTTCAATTGGGCTGATGACTAAACCGGTGACTAAAGGTTTGTCAGTATAAATGGATGGGTTGTAGGCAGACGGTGAGGAATTACTATACCTGCAAGGAGTCATTGCCTGATCTGCCTGGAAAGGGGCAGGATTGAGTCTCAGAAGGTGTACACCATAGGATATGGAAAAATTTGTCACGCCTAGCATTCAACTTAGTGGTGTAGCGCCACCTACTGGCACTTTAAAAGCTTAGCATAGAGGAGCATGTGTGTTAGGAGCTCGGATGGGATCCAGGGCCTCAAGGTTTGCATGTAAATAAAAGCCCTTTACCAAATTAACTACATACCAGCATACATCAGTCCTTTAGTGTTGAAAAACAGAAGTGAAAGCTAATATATATAGTGCTTGCTTTATTTAAGTCTAGCTGATTACGTGTTTGGTTGCCAGTGTGACTAGTCTGGAGTTGAATTTGTCCTCAGACACGTAAAATGGAATTTGGGATTCACAACACTCTAGTATGAGGGACCTAATGGCCTGTACCAGGCACAAACGTGTCTATAAACTACACAAAACGAAGGAATTTACAGGAATTAGGAAGGTATTCTTAACATTAAAACATTATGGGCATTTTAAAAAAAGCTTTGACAGGATTTCTTTGTCATGGCTGTCCTGGAGCTAGTTGTGTAGACCAGGCTGGGCTGAAATCTTGTCTGCCTGCCTGGCTTGGACACTTTTTTATTATGTATACAACATTCTGCTTCCATGTATATCTGCACATTAGAAGACGGCACCAGATCTCCTAATGGATGGTTGTGAGCCACCATGTGGTTGCTGGGAATTGAACTCAGGACCTCTGGAAGAGCAGTGCTCTTAACCTCTGAGCCATCTCCAGCCCCAGCTTGGGCACATTTTTAATGGCTGGGAAATCAAACCCCCTAGGCCTTCTGTCAGTAATGAAGGGCTTTTGGCTACCGAGAGTAGGATTTAAGGTTATTCGGAGCTGCAGGTCTGCCTCAGTGCAGGTTTGGGAGTCCAGCATCTTAGAAAATGCAGTGAAGCCAAGCTGAGCTATATTTTGTTTAAAAAAAAAATAAGTGGGTAAAGTGCTGCTGAGCCTGATGACCAAGCTGGGACACAAGTAGAAGAACATAGGCCAATGCTCTATATTAAAAGCATGGGTCATTTTTAATGCTCTTGAGAAGGCTATGCCTACACTACTCTCAGCCACCGCAGCGTGTTTAAATTAAACTAGTTTGGAAATTTTCTTTGGGGGTAAGCTATTTAACCTAGTGCCTTGGCAGGTATACTACTGAACTCTCCTCCTCATTCCTTTTTGTTTTTTAAGAATTTCAGTCAGGCTCAGGCAGCCCTTAAACTTGTGATTAAGCCTGAGAACAGTTACGATTATGAGCCTATTAGTATACCGATCAATATGTGAATTTTTTTGGGATGGGGGTCAGGCCTCCCTGCCTCCCAAATACTGGGACTAAAGGCTGCACCACCACAACCTGGCTCTTGAAATACTTTTCTACATTTTTTGGGGGGCATGGGTGGGAGAGCAGGGTTTCTCTGTATTAGCCCTGGCTCTCCTGGAACTCTGTAGACCAGGCTATTCTTGAGCTCAGATTAGCCTGTCTCTGCCTCCTAAATTCTGGGATTAAAGGTGTGTGCTACTGCTGCCTGGCTACAAAGACATTTTTTTTTTTCTTAAATTTAAAAACAAAAGTGGTTCTTTTAGAAGGGTGGTTGGTGTTGGCACATACTCCAAGCACTCAGGTTTTGAGTTTGTCCCAGGAATGAAGACTGCATTACTGCCGCCCCTCCCTGGTAAGGGCTACACAGAGAAATCCTATTTGGAGCCTATCCTGGTAACTCGCTCTGTAGACCAGGCTGGCCTCGAACTCAAGAGAACCACCTGCCTCTGAATGCTGGTATTAAGGGCAGGCACCACCAACACCCAGCCTAAAAAATGTCTTTTTTTTAAAGATTTTTTTTTTTTTTTTTACAGAATAAACATTCTGTTTACAATATTCTGCTTCTATGTATATCTGCACACTAGAAGAGGGCACCCGATCTCATAATGGATGGTTGTGAGCCACCAAGTGGTTGCTGGGAATTGAACTCAGAACCTCTGGAAGAGCAGTCAGTGCTCTTAACCTCTGAGCCATCTCTCCAGCCCCTAAAAATGGCTCTTGAGATAGGGTCTCAAGTAGTTTGAGACTGAGTTGGCTATATAAACAAGGCTGGCACATAGCACCATGTACAGCTGGGTTTAGTTTACATGGGGTGTTTTTGTCTCTGGAGGCAGGAGGATCATTTGAGCATAGGGAGTTAATAGTGAGGTCATGTTTTATCTACTCTTCTGAATTGAGAACTAAGCTGATGCAAAGCAAGTTTGACTGAAGAAGTCCAGTTTATGAGAACAAGGGTGGAAACTAATGTGTCAAAGATGGCCTTGCATGTGTTTTAGATGATGACCCAGTCACTTGGGAATTACTGGATGTGTAAGACCTATATCTTGACAGGAGTGAACAGTGTCTTATAGGTCCTATATGAAAGAAATGAGACATACCCATTTTGTTTCCCCTAAGAATTCACTTTTCCTAACCTGGTTCATGCTATTTAGGTTATTTTACTTGCAAATCCTAGGGTGCTCCCTTACCCAGTATTGCTTATGTGGCACCAAAGTCACTCACTCCCATGATTTGCAAGTCTCTGGGAACTTCCATGACAACCTAGAATAGCAACTCAAATACATTTTCTCAGTACCAATTTTGAAGAAAAAATATTTTGCAAAATAGCTGTATGGATGGGTACTAAATAGTGAGGTTATCTCCAGAAGGCCTATGAAGAATTAAGGTTGAGTTCAGTTGAGTTCAGCAGCAAGTTTAAGGTTCATCCATTTTTGTACAGTGTTTTCCTATTACGGTAAGTGTTTTGCCTGCAGGAATATCTGTACCACATGCTTGCCTGGTACCTATATCGGCCAGAAGAGGGCTTTGGATCCTCTGGACTTGAATTACAGATGGGTATTAGCCACCATTTAGGTGCTGGGAATTGAAACCAAGTCCTCTGGAAGAACAGCAAGTGATCTTAACTGTTGAGTCATCTCTCCAGCCACCCTACCTCATCCCCTACTTTTAAGCACACATTGCTATGTGGCGTAGGGCAGGTTAACCTTGAATTTGGGATTTTCCTCTTGTCTCTGCCTTCCCAGCTGCTGGGATTACATGTTTTGTTTTGTTTTGTACTCTATGATTGCCTCCAATCTGAGGCAATCCTCCTGCCTCTCAAATTTTGGGATTACACGTGTGCACTACAGATTTTTTTTTTTTTTTAAGATAGTCTCACTATACAGCCCAAATTAGCCTCCAATGTGCAATACTGTCATTTAGCCAGGGTGCCCATGCCTGGCTAAAGTTTGCCATGTATTCTATGATTCTATGTATTTGTAAACACACATGGCATTGACTAAAATAAAAGCTACATTTTGAGACAGGTAGTTTTAATCCCAGTACTCGGGAGGCAGAAACAGGTGGATCTGAGTTCAAGGTTGGTCCACAGAGCGAGTTCCAGGACAGAGAAACTGTGTTTCGAAAAACCCAAACAAAAAACAAACAAAACAACAACAAAAAGCTACCTTTTGAAAGGTAGAGAGCCAGAGAGATGGCTCAGCAGTTAAGAGCACTGGCTACTCTTCCAGAGGACCTGAGTTCAATTCCCATAGCTTACAACTATAACTCCAGTTTCAGGAGTTTCATATAGGCAAAACACCAATGCTTAAAATAAATTTCAAAAAAGAAATTATGCATCAATAGATACTGACCTAGAAAAACCAAAAGTAAATGGAACATACAAAAAAATCTAGGAAAACTGAACTGCATCCAAATGACCATGTCAAACTATAACAAAATATTTGGGATCTCTGGTTTACCAATAGAGTTCCAGGACAGGCTCCAAAACAATACAGAGAAACCCTGTCTTGAAAAAAAAACAAACAAAAATTTGGTTGCTTTCCCCATAATCAGACCTTAGATATACAGCCAAAATTACGGAGCCCTTGGAACACGAAGTTTTAGCTGAAGCCTAGGCAATCACAAGGGCTTCTCCCTAGGTAGGCTAATAGGCTTGCTGGCATTAAAGAAACAAGATCATCTGGCACCTTTGGCTATATCCCCTAGTCTACTGGTAAAGACTGGTTAAGGGGCCCACATTGGTCACCCCTATGCAGCCCTCAGAGCACATATTATCTGTTATACTAGAAAGGGAAGGATACGGCATTACTAGACACAATTCATCAGTTACTATGGATGGACTGCTTTATTGTTAAATCATGGCCAGGTCAGTTTCATCAGCAAACATTTTGTTGTATAAAATCTGACCACCTTTAGCCTCTCTTAACCAGCTTACACATAAACTTACATAAAGTAAGTTTATGTGTCTGTTTTACAGTATTTATTAATGTTCAAAACTAGTAATTATTGAAAATTTCCAAAGTACTGGAATCTAAGATTTAAATGTTCTAAGTCAGCTTTTAACTACAAATTAATTCCACAATTAGAAATTGCATGGGCTACACATATAGCCACCACCTACTCACACACCTGAGGTAGTCTCATGTAGTCCAGACTAGCCTCAAACTGAAGATGACTTTGAATTTCTGACTCCTTTTGTATGTTCCATTTACTTTTGGTTTTTCTAGGTCAGTATCTATTGATGCATAATTTCTTTTTTGAAATTTATTTTAAGCATTGGTGTTTTGCCTATATGAAACTCCTTTGAATTTGGACTCCTTCCAAATGCTAAAATAAGAAAAAGAAGTATTACACATATGGGTGTTTGGCCTACATGTATGTCTGTGTACCACATGGCCAGAAGGTGTTGGATCGCCTGGAACTGAAGTTATATACTGTTGTGAGCCATTGTGTGGGTGCTGAGCTCAATCCTTTGTGCTCTGAAAAAGCAGCCATTGCACTTAACTGCTTATCCATTTCTTCCCCTGCTCCTCCTCCTCTATCCAGGTATTAGGATTACATGTGTGTAATAGTGTAATAGCACACCAGCTGAAAACCATCCTCAAATGAGAGAAAAAATAAATTAGCTGAGTGAATCTGAGTGGTTTTGTAGCCTTCATTTTTCTTTTTGGGGGGTTTTTCAAGACAGGCTTCTGTGTGGCCTTGGCTGTCCTGGAACTTGCTTTGTAGACCGCAGTGGCCATCCCAAACTCATAGAGATCCACCTTCCTCTGGCTCTCAGTGCTGGGATTACAGGTCTGTCCCACCATTGCTCAGCTCAGTCTTCATTTTCATCCTGACTTAAGACTTGAATCACTGCTTCCTAACCTACAGGAAGCAGACAAGGTTAAGCAATGGTTTGGTATTCTTTATGAGCAAAGTTCACCAAATTAATTTACACATGGGCTTATGAGTAGCAAATCTACAAACTGATCTTTTTCCCCATCTTAAGCATACCTGAAAAACATCATAGGACACTAGGCACCTGCCCACAATATGGGAGATGGGGTTGTGAAATGAATTCATCTGTCTCCACATTTGCAGAAAGGATTTCACTGGAGCCTTGATACCCTTAGCATGTCCACTCAATGACTGTGCATTGTCTGTCTTCTTCCAGAGTCTCAGGCTTAGTCTTCTTAAGTTTTTAAAAAGGCTTTGATGGACTCAGCACCCTCAGACTTTCTTGACAAAGTAACATGCCCATCAGGTATTTGGAGTCAACCCCCTTTAGACTGTATCTTTATAAGGGGGTTTCTTGATGCTATTTCTGGACTGGTTATATTTGTGTGGTTCTTAGAATTGACAATGTCTACAAAGTAATGGGCAGTTCCTCAGAGCCTGAGACTGGAAAAGAGCAAGTTTCCCCTCAATTTAATATTGAACTCCTGATCCTCCTGCTTTCGTCTCTTTTGTTTGAGACTTCTATGTGTAGCCCTGCCTCTGTCCTGGAACTTGATCTGTAGACCAGGCTGGCCTCAAACTCAGAGATCCATCTGCCTGCCTCTGCCTCCCAAGTGCTGGGACTAAAGGCGTGCATCACCACTGCCCAGCCCAGCTTCAGCTCTTAAAGAGATGGGATTACTTAAAATCTGTACCACCACTCAGTTTCAGGGTTAGTTTTGGCTAGATTATTAACCTCTGATGAATGCTATGTGACCTACAGAGGCTTATTGTATAGAGACCCAGAAAGAACTATACATTGTTTTTAACTATTTTGCTTAGATACATAAAAACCCACAATTGTAACATTTGTTTTACAAGTACAAACCTAAAATAATCTAACAATGCTATTCTCACAGGTGCTATTTCATACTCTCTAAGCCCTTTCTTGTAGACCAAGATGGTCTTGAACTCACAAAGAATCTCCTGCCTCTGCCTCCTGAGTACTGGGATTAAAGGTGTGTACCACCACTGTCCAGCCTCTCTAAGCTCTTTCTAGAAGTCCTCTATGAAATGACAGTTACAATTCTCTGTATAAAAGTTTCTTTGTATCACATAAGTACTAATTGGTTTGGTGTTCCGTTACTGCTGCCTGTCTTTGCTGAGTGGTCTTCACAAATCTGAGCAGATTGACGATGGCAGCTGGTGTCACTCCAGGTATACGACTAGCAGCCCCAATCTAGGAATGAAAATGACAAAAGAACCAAAGTGAGCTACTCACATCAAATCTACTCTCCTCACATTCTCTTTATACAGATTATAAAATATTTAGATTCTTAGTTGGGGTCTGGCTACACTGACCAGATTGGCTTTGAATTTCTGGGCAAAATACAGCCTCCTTCACTTCAGTTTCCCCAGTTGGTAGCTAGGACTGCAGACACATGCTATTATACCCAGCTATTAAAAATTATCTAAGAGTTGGGTGATGGAGGCCCATGCCTTTAATCCCAGCACTTGAGAGGCAGGTAGATCTGAGTTCAAGGCCAGCCTGGTCTACAGAGCCAGGACTACAGGGTTTCTCGAACCCATTCCCCCCCAAATATATATAATAAAAAATAAATTTTAAAAAATCGGAGGGCTGGAAAGATGGCTCTGCACTTAAGAGTACTTGCTTCTCTTGCAAAGATTCAGTTTCCAACACCCCACGGCAGCTCATAACTATCTCTAACACCAGTTCCAGGGGATCCAATGCCCTCTTCATCTGTCTTCCATTGGGTATGGACATGGTGCACATACATACATACATACATACATGCATACATGTAAAACATTCATACTCATAAAAAATTGAAATGTAATTACAATAAGTTTGTAAAGCAGATAAAGGAAATGTGACATGCCTCCAGCTCAGAGGTAAAAAACAGTGGGTGTAAGATCAGAAATAATCTGGACATGCATGTGACCACAGAACTCAGGGCATTGTGCCAGAAGGATTCCAAGTTGAAGACTAGCTTGGCCACACAGGAAGACCATGTCTCAACAAACAAAAACACTTCTAGATTTTGGCACACACCCATAATCCTAGTACTAGGAAGACAAAGACAGAAAGATCTTAAATTCAAGGCCAGCCTGGGCTACAAAGACTCTAATCACCTTCCTCCCCATTCCTATAACATGTTACAATATCTTTTCCTTTCCATTAAGAAGATCTGTGGGAGGGCTGAAGAGATGGCTCATTGATTAAGAGCACTTGTTGCGCTTTCAGAGGACCAGAGTTCAACTCTTAGCACCCATAAGGTGACTGGCTCACAACTATCTGTAACTCCAGTTCCAGGGGATCTGAATCTGATAGCCTCTTCTGACCTCCATAGCTACCAGGTATGCATGTGGTGTACACAAGAACATGCAGGGAAAACACACATACATACTAAACAATTTTCACTTATTTATTTTAAAAAAGAAAATATGTGGTACAGATGGCAATTAACACCAAGATTCACAACTGGTCAACATGCAGAATATGAGACTTTGGAGGGCTCACCCCTAAATGAGACATCTGTACCAATACTCTTGCCCACAAAGCTTAGGGATCTTTGAGGAAGAGGGGATGGAAAGATGCTGAGTGAATGACTTAAAGGAAGCAATGGTTTCAGAACACAACAGACAAGACTTGCCCAAGTTCAAGCCAGGCAAAATCTCTTGATGGAGTGAGGAAGGGGAATAGGAGGAGGGGGAGATACGTACAAAGTCCCACCTCTAGCTCAGAGTACTGGCTTTTCATAATTATGGGGGGGGGGCACGTTTTGTTTTGAATGAGAAATAAAATTTTTATGCTTACATTACATTGCTTTGCTTCAAGGGTTGTAAAATAAGAGGGTGTGCATTAATGCTTTAACACATGGTTGGGATAAGTGTGTATAAATGCAATCAAACCAAATCTTAAAAAAAAAAACAAAACTTTTTTTTTTTTTTTTTTTGGTTTTTCGGGACAGGGTTTCTCTGTGTAGCTTTGGAGCCTATCCTGGCACTCGCTCTGAAGACCGGGCTGGCCTCGAACACATAGAGATCCACTTGCCTCTGTCTCCCGAGTGCTGGGATTAAAGGTGTGCGCCACCAACGCCCAGCCAACATTTTTTTTTAAAGAAAAATTTTCTTCTTCTTCTTTTTTTTTTTTTTTTGTTTTTTTGAGACAGGGTTTCTCTGTGGCTTTGGAGGCTGTCCTGGAACTAGCTCTTGTAGACCAGGCTGGTCTCAAACTCACAAGATCTGCCTGCCTCTGCCTCCCAAATGCTGGAATGAAAGGCGTTTGCCACCAATGCCGGGCCGAAAAATTTTCTTTTTATGTCATATGTATGAGTGTTTTTGAATGTATGTAAGCACACCATGTACATGTAGTGCCCTCAGAGGTCAGAAAGGGGCATCAAATTCCCTGGAACTGAAGTAGGCTGTGAGCCACCATAGGAACCAAACCAGGGTCCTTTGCAAGAACAGCCAGCAAGTCCTCTTTGCTGCAGAGCTAGCTCTTCAGCTCTAAGACTAAGTTTCTCAAGGTCACTCAGGAGACCACTATTAGTCCAGGATTAAAAACTAAAGCACTAGCTCTTTCTGGCTTTGTTTATAATTTGCTTCTTCCTACTGCTTGTTTGCTTACAGTCTGTGGGCGACTCATGTGTAGCTTCTCTCGAACTTCCTGGGACAATGACACATCCCTGATTGTTAAATAATCGAGGTCTTGTGGCAGTTGTAAAGCTTCATCTCGCTGAACCTCCTTTATTTCTTGTAGTTGAAACATCAATACAGACTCATAAGCAGCTGGATGAAAAAAATTAGAATTATATTATGATACATACATCATACTAACAAACTATATTTATATAACCTCTGTTTACAAATAGATCGGCATGCATCAGATCATTCAATACTTGATATTTTGAGACAGGTGGTAGATAATCTTCACTATTCTTGAGATAGAATTTCCTGGTTTGGTGTTCCTTTTTGAGGTGAGGAAACCGGAGGTTATCATGCAGACAGACTACAGATAGCCAAGGATAATGTGAAACTACTGATTGTTATCCAGCCTCCACTATCAAAGTGGTAGTGCTACAGGTGTCTGCCACCATGCTCAGCTGATCTGACATTCTCATCAGTGCAAATGTTAAGTCCTAAAGATAGGCTGTTTCTCCAGAAAAATGGTTCTTTAAGTTATTTTCATGTGAAGCTCTGTGTGTGTGTGTGTGTGTGTGTGTGTGTGTGTGTGTGTGTTTTAGGGGGTTCCAAGGAGGGAGGGAGGGGGGAGATAGAGGTGGAGGGAGGGAGGGAGAGAGAGAGAGAGAGAGAGAGAGAGAGAGAGGGGAAGGATAGAGAGGATGACGTTTTAAGGTGGTTCCAGGGACTAATTCCATGGCCTATACATGCCAGACAAGTAGCTCTACTACTCAGCTATGCTCCCAGCTCCAAAGCAATAATTTTTTAGAAGTGGGGTTCCTTAGATGGCAAACATAACATGCAATTTAGTTAAGGACTTTATTGAGAAGTAATGTTCTGAAGAGAGCCTGGCAATTAACTTTGTCAAGCATTCTATTCTTAGAAAAATAAAGTCAAAATTTAAAAAAAAACTTGTTTGTTTTTGGTACTGGTGATTAAGTCCAGGACTCAGGGCATCGTGGATGCTAGGCAAGAAGACACACTCCACTGTTACTACTAAGTTATGTCCCTATCCCTTTTTACACTTTTTAGGCACTGCCTCACTGAGTTGGCCAGGAAAACCTTTTACAACCCCTGCCTCAGCTTGAGTCCTGGGATTACACAGGAATGCTTCACTACACCTGGCACAATTTTATGATTCATAAATAGCCCTCAGGGTGTAATGGAATGTGATGGTTAATACTGATCATCAATTTGACAAGATTTAAAATCACTACAGAAACTACTCAGCATGTCTGTCAGAATGTTTTCAAAACAATTTAAATGAAAAAGGAAGATCTACGTTGGGTGTTGGTGGTGCATGCCTTTAATCCCAGCACTCAGGAGGCAGAGGCAGCCAGATCTCTGTGAGTTCGAGGCCAGCCTGGTCTCCAGAGCAAGTGCCAGGATAGGCTCCAAAGCTAAAACCCCCTTTGAAAACCCCCCCCCCCCCAAAAAAAAAAAAAAAGAAAAAGAAAAAGGAAGATCTACCAGAATGCAGGTGGTCCCATTCCACAGGCTGAAGCCCTGGACTTAAAAGGAGAGAGGGAGTTGAGTGCTGACATCTGTGCTTCCTGAATGTGGATGAACTAGATTAATGGCCTCATTCCCAGCAAACTACAGGTTAGCTGCTCTCACTACCATGCCTTTCCCACCAGGATGGATTTTGTCTCCTCAAGTCATAAGCAAAATTAGACTCATCTGGATGAATACTACAGGTAGTTCTCTGGCTTTTGCATGTATAGACCCTTCCTTGAGTGGCTTTAAAAAAATTATTTTTATTTTATGGTATTTGGTGTTTTGCCTGCATGTATGTCTATCTGAGGGTATCAGAAACCCTGGAACTGGAGTTGTAGACGGTTGTGAACTGCCATGTGGATACTGGGAATTGAACCTGGATCCTCTGGAAGAGCAGTCAGTGCTTTTAACCACCGAGTTATCGCTCCAGCCCCTTAAGTGAATTCTTGCTAAGTACTCTGTCACAGCAACAAGAGAGAAACTATGTTAATACATGGGCTACCTGAGATCTTGCATAGGGCCAAGGGCATATTTATTTAATCTCTCAAATATAAATTATAAAACAAGAAAGATAATACTATGTGACACTGACTTCTGCCCTCAAGAATCTTGTCTAGGGGTTGGCATGTAGCTCAGTTGGCAGAGGGCTTGTTTGGCATGCTTGTGTCCCTGGGTGATTCTAAATCCTGCCAAGCTGACAACTGATATTAACCACCACATTCCATCACTGCACAAAACCAGGTAGAGTGGCATACACCAGCAATCACAGCACTTATAGAGAGGCAAGAGGACCTAAAAGCTCAAGGTCATCCTCAGCTTAGGAGTTTTGGGCTGACCTGGGCTACATGAGACTATGCCTCAAACAAACAAACAAATCACTGGAGAGTGGTTAAGAGCACTTGCTACTCTTGTAGAGGATCCTTTGGTTTCCAACACCCTTCTCAGGCAGTTCATAACTGAATTCTGTAACTCCAGTTCTAGAGAATTCAACACCCTCTTCTGCCCTCCATGAACATGGGCATACATGTGCATACACACAGAGATACAAACACAAAAGTGTAAATAAAAATTAAATTAAAAAAGAAAAAGATTAGCCGGGCGTTGGTGGCGCATGCCTTTAATCCCATCACTCGGGAGGCAGAGGCAGGTGGATCTCTGTGAGTTCAAGGCCAGCCTGGTCTCCAGAGCGAGTGCCAGGATAGGCTCCAAAGTTACACAGAGAAACCCTGTCTCGAAAAACCAAAAAAAAAAAAAAAAAGAAAAAGATTGAAAGAATGTTGGGGAGATTCAAGTAGTAACTTGAAAATCACCCATATATGTTGTACTTTAACCCAAAGTGGTTTCTTTTAAACCTTAAGTGGGTGCTGGAGTTTTTATAAACCCTAGTCTTTACAGAGCAAGGAGTAGCTATGTCATGGTTGAATTATTTCCTGTAAACAAGTTAATGATAAATACTTCTGAACTATGCTAACTGGAACCTAATATTTACTGAAGAATAGCTGTACACCAAGTTTAAAATATGTAATCTAGGGGGCTGGAGAGATGGCTTAGTGGTTAAGAGCACTGGCTGCTCTTCCAGAAGACCAGGGTTCAATTCCCAGAACCCACATGGCAGATCATAACTGCCTGTAAACTCCAGTTTCAGAGGCGCTGATGTCTTACACATGTGCACGGAGGCAAAACATGAATGCAATTGAAATCAAAATAAAATATATATATAAAAAAATTTTACAAGTTATTTTTAACCATGTGTATGTGTGTGCATGTAAGTGCAGGTGTCTGTGGATCTCCTAGAGCTGAAGTTACAGGTGGTTGGGAGTCACCTTATGTGGATGCTGGGAACTGAACTCTGGTCCTCTGAAGGAGCAGCATGTGTTTTTAACCACTGAGCCATCTTTCCAGTCCCATTTGGGTTATTTTCTGAATAAAATTTAATTTTTTAATATTGGGTCATTTGGAAAACATGTTTCTAGAATTTCTGGTAGGTTTTTTTTCATTGCTAGCCTTTTATAAAATTACATAATGGAATGGCAGGCAACACCACCCTGGCTGTTCCCCAAGGAGTTTAAGGTCTTTCCTGTATAAACAGCATACTATCATCCCACTTTTCCTACCATTCCCATAATCATCCTGTTCTGTACCCTTTTCACTGCTGTGTCCTCTACTGGAGGACAAACCCATAAAAACATGTTCTCCTCAGGCATGCACCACTATGCTCAGCAAATAGTGCTCTCAATGGGTCTGCTGCTCATTCATAATCTGCACACATGGGAAAGAGAATACAGGCCTCCAAAGGAAACAGCTCTCTTTTTACCTTCTATTTTCAGTCTTCTAGCCAGCTCTCTATCAGCAGTATACTTCTTCAAGGGCTCAGGAACAGCATTGGCTAGTAAGTCCATGTCAACTTCTTCACACTTAAGAACATCTAGAGCGCTGCCAACGTAAAAAGTTGTATCAACATAACGATCCATATCCTGTAAGGCAAACTAAGACCAAAATTCCTTGGAATGATACTAAGTATTAGAATAATTAAAAGAGACTCTTCATTTTTTTTTCCCCCAGGTGAAGTGAGCAAATATAGTAGTATTGGACCAGATGTGGTCATGCACACTTTTAATCCCAATGCTCTAGAGGCAGAGGCAGAAGGATCTCTTGAGTTTGAGGCTAGCCTGGTCTACATAATTCGCCCATGCTACATAAAGAGACCCCCCTGCAAAATAAAATAATATAAAATAAATAAAAAAAGTATAGTGTCTGCAAAGTAGGTCATCAAAAAAAAAAATGGAGAGATGGTTCAGTGTTTAAGAACAGTGGCTGCTCATCTAGAGGATCTGAGTTCAATTCCAGCACCCACATGGCAGCTCACAACTGACTGTAACTCCAGTTCCAGAGAATCTGATACCCTCATACCAATGCACATAAAAAAAAGAACAACTGATTCTCTTTGGGCATGGTAATGCATGCCCAAGATCCCAGCACTTGAGAGGCAGAGGCAGGAGCACTGGGAGTGAGTGACAGGCCAACCTTTGTTACACAGCAAGTTTGAGGGCAGCCTGGGTTTCAGGAAACACCAGTTTAAAACCCCCATCCAAAAGTATAGATTTTCTCACTTCCCATCATAAGAATTACACTGTTGATATGGCTTTTTAGGCTGTAGTCTCCTTTTGTTTTACAAAGAGCATCCTCTGTTAACAAGGGCTTCGTCATGTTCAGAGCATAGGGAATGTGCTTCACATCTACTAAGTCTTGGTAGTGTACTATGAAGGAGCCGTCCTTCTGCAGGCTAGGGTTCAGATACGGTTTGTGTCCCTACCAGGCTCATGCTCTGGAAGTGCAGTCTGTCATTGTTGAGGCACACCATTTAAGGGGAAGGACTGTGAGCAGCAGGAACTAGGTCTCTACTCTTCAGAAGAGCTCAACACTGTTACGAAGCTTGAGCTCACACTAGTGAGCTCTTACCAGAACAGCAAGCCTGACGCCTATATTTCTGGCTTCTCATCTCTCTCTATGTGGTCTCTGAAGAGCAGCCTAGCAAAGAAAATGGGTCCTTCTACTTTTTTGGTTTGGAGCCTCTAAAACTGATGAAAACCAAAAGATCTCAATGGGAACCACAAAAAAATTATAGAAGAGATGCTGACTGCTATTCCAGAGGACCCAGGTTTGATTCCCAGCACACACAGGGCAGCCTATAACCTAGTTCCATGGGACCCGATGCCCTCTTCTGATTCCCTGGGCACAGGATGTGCACATGGTGCAAATACATACATATACTTGTAAGCAAAACACCTAAGACACATAAAAATAATAATTTATAACCGTACATAAAGAAATATATTTCATGAAAATATTTTCACTAGGTATGGAGGTCCATGCCTTTACCCAGCACTTGGGAGGTAGAGACTCTGGGACTGAATCCAGGGTCACCCATGCTAAGCATGCACTCTACCATCAAGGCACATGCCCAGCCATACACATCTTACATTTCCTTTAAAACTTATTTTTCAAGACAGGATTTTCTAGGTCCCAGTTGAGACTGATCTAAAACTCCTGATCTCTGCCTCTACCTCCTAGCTGCCGAGATTAATGTCATACATACATGGCTCACATATTTATATATATTAAATAAGTAGATGAATTATACTAAAGGCTGCTGAGAAGCTAAGAGCAAGCTATATTCATTTAAAATGTGTAGGTAGGGAGTCAGTATAAGACAGTTCTCTGAAATCTCATTTTTCTGTAAAAACTAAGAAAAGTCTATATTGAAAATCATACCTGACAGGAAGGCTTCTATTAACACTTATAGGAGCTTGTGGAATTAACTTTTTCCACTTGGAGCTTGAAAGCTCAATGGATTTCAACACAGAAATGCCTTCTTCTAAAGAAGATTTCATCCACGAAGCTCTTTCATATCGCTGTGGGGACACACAGCCAGCATCCTTATGGGCTAGGAAAGGAAGAGGAAAAAGTTTTAAAGAACAATGGAGTGCAGGGCTTGGCAGCACAGCACACACCTGTAATACAAGCACTTAGAGGCAACCGAGGGAGACTACAGTGATTCCAGGCTGGCCAGGCTACACATGGAGACCTCGTCTCAACAGCCCTTCACCCCAACTTCCTCTTCCTACTACTTGAGAGGTGGAGTCAAGAAGAACAACAGAAAAAGTCGGGCATTGGTGGCGCACACGTTTAATCCCAGCACTTGGGAGGCAGAGGCAGGCAGATCTCTGTGAGTTCAAGGCCAGCCTGGTCTTAAGAGCGAGTGCCAAAGCTACACAGATAAACCCTGTCTGGAAAAACAAAACAAAACAAAACAAAAGAACAGGAACCCAAAGTCACTTTAGCTACACTTGAAGAGACCCTGCCTCAAAACAACTACACAAACCAACAATAACCCAAAAGGCAGTGCAGTACCTTACAGGACTTGATTACAAGTTACCTCGGAATGTGAGGCGGCTGTCAGCATTATCTGGGCGAAGTGACAAACGGAACTCTACCCTGCTGGTAAACATGCGGTATGGTTCACTGGTGCCCAGTGTGGTCAGATCATCAATCAAGACTCCTATGTAGCCTTCTGTGCGACTTACAATAAAGGGTGGCTTTCCACTGACTCGAAGACTGGCGTTGATTCCAGCTATCACACCCTATAAGAGGACTGAAATGTTTAAGAGGTCATTATGAACTGAATAAATAGCTATTCTATTTAGCACACTACATGGGAAACAAAATCAGCAAGGGTAGGAAGAGGTGGTCAATGGTGGCACACGCCTTTAATCCCAGCACTCAGGAGGAAGAGGCAGGTGCACCTCTGAGTTCGAGGCTACTCTGGTCTACAGAGTGAGTTCCAGGACAGCCAGGACAACACTGAGAAACCCTGTCTTGAAGAATGAAAACAAACACACAGGGTAGGAAGAAAGCAGGCTCATAAGGAATATAAATATGATCCATGGGGCTGGAGAGATGGCTCAGTGGTTAAGAGCAGTGCCTGTTCTTCCAGAGGTCCTGAGTTCAATTCCCAGTAACCACATGGTGGCTCACAACCAATGAGATCTGCTGCCCTCTTCTGGCCTGTAGGCATACATGCAGGCAGAACACTATATATAATAAATAAATAAATTAAAAAAAAATATGATCCACAGTCAGAAACACCATATGTTAGAATGATATGATTCATTCTGCAGGGGGTTGGGGATATTAATCTTTGTAAACCTATTTGTGAGACTTCTCTAGCTTTCTTCTTCTCTGTGGCTTTGGAGGCTGTCCTGGAACTAGCTCTTGTAGACCAGGCTGGTCTCAAATTTACAGCGATCCACCTGCCTCTGCCTCCCGAGTGCTGGGATTAAAGGCGTGTGCCACCAATGCCCAGCTCTAGCTTTCTTCTATGTACAAACAAACAATAATTTACCACTGTATGATGGTTTGAATAAGAACCCCATAAGTTTGAATGCTTACTCATCATGGAATGGCACTATTTGAGAAGGATTAGAAGGTGTGGCCTTGTTGGAGAAGGTGTGTCAATGGGGGTGGGCTCTGAGATATCAAAAGCTTAAGCCAGACTTGGTATCTCTTTCTTCCTGCTGCCTGTGGATCCAGATATAGAACTCTGCTACTTCTCCAGCACTGTGTCTGCCTGTGTGCCACCATTCTCCCACCCCAGATGATAATGGACTAAGCCTCTGAGACTGTAAACCAACCCAAATTAAATGCTTTCTTTTATAAGAGTTGCTGTGGTCATGGTGTCTCGTCACAACAACAGAATAAGGATCAAGACAATGGTAAAGAATATTATGGGAGGTTGGAAAGATTTCATAAAATGCCTTCCTCTAAAGCATACAGACCGCAATTGGAACCCAATAGTCTCCTGAAAAACCTGAGCACAATAGTACAGGCCTGTAACCTCAGCACTGAGACGGCAGAGACAATTGGACCACTGAAACTCATTGGTTTAGCCTAACTAGTGAGTGCAATGACAGATTCTGTGTCAAAAAGTAAGGTGGAGGGGTTGGAGAGGTGGCTCAAGAGGTTAAGAGTGTATACTGCTCTTGCTGAGAACCCAGTTTGGGTTTGCTGTAGCCATGCTGGGCAGCTCACAACTACCTATAACTCCAGCTCCAGAGAAGCCCTCTTCTGGCATCCTCTGGCACATAAATTCGTGTGCACATACCCCTTCCCATCCATCCATAGTAATAAAAAAAAAGGGAGTTTGATTCCCAGCTCCCACATGTGGCTCACAACCATTTGTATCTCTCGTTCCAGGGCATCTAATGCCCTCTTTTGGCCTCCACAGGCACACGTGTGGTACACATACATACATACAGACAGACACAACATAAGGTGAAGAACAATTGAGAAAGATATCTAATGCTGATCTCTGGCCGCAACATGGACAAATGTGCACACACACAAAAATAACAACAAATAAGCCACAAAAATAACAACAATATGCGATTTTTCAGGAATCTTAAAAGAATTAAATGCTCTTTTTATACTTCAGAAGCAATTCCTCAAATTTTTTCTTAATATCCTGGCAGATCTAGGACTCAGAAACTAGCTGGGTTTTCGAAATCACCCTCCACAAGCTGGGCACCACGGCACATGTCTGTAATCCTAACACTAGGAAAGTAAAGCAAGAGAGATCAGCAGTTTGATCTAGGAGTGGTGGTGCACACTTGTAATCTCAGCACTTGGAAGGTGAGGGTGGGGATGGATTTTCAAGGCCAGCTTTGGCTATATAGCAAGTTTGAGGCCAATCTGGGCAACAAAGCAAGACCCTTTTTCAAAACAAAACAGGTATATTATATACAACAGTTATATCCACTTAGCCTAAAATACTGTTGTACCCACGATCTGTATAATCAACAACAGACACTAAAAAATGAACACTAATGAAATGGTCTCTTCTGGTTTATAGTAACATCTGAATAAATTCTTACCTGGAGCTGAGCATGGTGGCACATGCCTTTAATCTGAGCACTTGGGAGGCAGAGGCAGGTGGATCTCTGAGTTTGAAGCCAGCCTACTCTACATGGACAGCTAACACTAGCTAGAGAAACTCTGTTTTAAGCAAAATGAAATAAAACAAATCTTACCTGAGCTGCAGCTTCCTCATAACCAGTGGTTCCATTTATCTGTCCAGCAAAGAATAGCCGTTGAACCAAATGTGTCTCAAGGGAAGGACTGATCTGACGGGGGTCTAAATAATCATACTGAACACCATAGCCTGGCCAAAGAACAAGTGCACACGGTAAGTCAAAGTTGCTGCACTTGCCTCAAAGATAAATACAAAATGCATCAGACTACATGCAATGTATAGACGCTGGGCCTCAAACTTGAAGGAAGCTTCCTGCTTTAGCCTCCCAAGTGCCAGGGTTACCCATGTGTGTCTCCATGTCCAGCTTCAGCTTATCTTATAGAGAGAGTACTAAGTACACCAGCTCATTGCTTACTGAAGCACACCTGTGACCCTCTTTACCTGGATGAACCATTTTGGCTTTCTCCAAGCCTCTGATGCACGTTATCATTTTCTCTTGTAACTCAGCTGGTAGTGTAACAGACAACCCTTGGGGGTAGATAAGGTCAGAATCCATTCCTTCCGGTTCCAACCAAACCTGATGTACACGATTTGGAAAGCGTAAAACTTTTGATTCAATGGAGGGACAGTATCTAGAACAAAACATTGAAATTTGAAGTAAATTCGATGACAAAAAGTTACCTCATTCATAAAGTGAGTAAGCACTCATTTCTAGTTCTTACCGGGGTCCTCTTGTAGTTTCCTTAACATGGCTATTCAGGTGCAGGTTCTCAAGGACAATCTCATCCACTCTGGGGTTGGTATGAGTCAAGTAACATGGCAGTTGATCTTCTGGCTAGAAAACAGTAATCACATACAACACGTACTTCACCTGCTTGCATGTCTGAGACAGGGTCTTGAGTGGCTGAGAGTGGCCTTGAGCTCTCTGTGGAGAGAAGCTCTTTTCTTGCCCTACCTCCTGACTGCCGCGATTGCATGTGGGCCACTATAGCTGGCATATAACATTATTTTGCTTCTTTACTCACTGAATTTGCCTCTTATTCAAATAAAACCTGCACAATACTGACTTACTTGAGAACAAATTAAATTGGTGCATAATAATTAAATATTCCTGCCAAAAATAAACATGTAACTTGATAGGTGAACCTAAATTTAGGCAAGTTCCTAAATTTAATTATCAGTTTCTAGGAAAGATAGAGGACATAATCAAGACAAATCTGGGGGAAAAGACTTAGCTTCTTTTATACCTAAATACTGGGGGAGGGAGTAATAATTATAAAATGTCCTCTAGTGTAATATGTACACTTCATTTTGGACCCTGTTTAAAATAAAACTAATATAAAAAACTAATATAATAATATCTGAGGGATAATGAGGTGTGACATTCTGAGCTTGAGTAGCAGGAACCCCACAGTGAAAGGAGAGAAACAACTTCCATGAGTTGTCCTTGATCTCCACATGCTACACTTTTTGTGAGGGAGTGGGAAAGAGAGGAATAGAGGGGGTGGGGGCAGAAAACACACACACACAGACACACACAGACACACACACACAGACACACACACACACACACACACAAATAGAAACAAATATGTTTGAGGAAATTAGGAAAAATTGAGTATCAGATGACATTAAGAAATGATGTTTTAGGGCTGGAGAGATGGCTCAGAGGTTAAGAGCACTGACTGCTCTTCCAGAAGTCCTGAGTTCAATCCCAGCAACCACATGGTGGCTCACACCATCTATAATGAGATCTGGTGCCCTCTTCTGGTGTGCAGATATACATGGAAGCAGAATGTTGTATACATAATAAATAAATAAAATTAAAAAAAAAAAAGAAAAAGAAATTATGTTTTAGCTGGGCAGTGGTGGTGCATACCTTTAATCCCAGCACTCAGGAGGCAAAGGCAGGCAGGTCTCTGTGAGTTAGAGGCCAGCCAGGTTAACAGAGAGTTCCAGGCCAGCCAGGAACACCTCCTTCCGACCACACACAAAGGAATGATGTTTTAGTAGGGCATAATGCTTCATGACTGTAATCCCAGCACTCGGGAAAGTAAGGCAGGAAGATTTACTAAAGTTACATAGCAAAATCCTATCTCATAAAAACCCCAATGCTAAACAAAGTTTTGTTGTGATATTGGTGAGTTTTTCTTTGTTAAAGACATGAAAATATAAATGATCTGTTATCTATAAATGTCTTAAGAACCACCAAGAAGGAATAAACCTGAGCCAGCAAGATGACTCATGGATGCCAGGGTATACTGGGAAACAGGCTGGTCTCTGTGAGTTCAAGCCCAGTGATACATAGTAATATCCTCTATCAATCAATCAGTGGCTCAGGGGATAAGGGTCAGTAAGCCCAATCGCCTTGGAACCTACAGAACAGAAGAAGAAAACTGACTCTCACAAGTTGTCTTCTGACGTCCACATGAGTGTCATAGCACAGGGATGGGCACCCACCCACCCAAACACTGTTTCTGGGGTGTAAAACAGCCAGGTATAGTGACATATCTCTCTAATCCAGTACTGGAGTACACACAGGTAGATCCCCGAGAGTCAAGGCTACCCTGGTCTACAGTTTGAGGCCAGCCAGAGCTACATAGTGAGAACCTATCTAAAAAACAAAACTAAACTAAAACTAAGAGGATGATTGAAACAAGCCAGGGGTGGTGGCTCACACATCTACGAGTTCCAGCAAGCCTTGGTTCAGCTACATAGTCAAGACCCTATCTCAAAAAGGGGTGTGGAGAGGATGGAGAGATGGCTCGGCAGTAAAAAACATGTGCTACTCCTTTTGCAGAGGGCTCAGTTCTTAGTATAGATATCAGGAGGCTTACAGCAACCTGTAACTCCAGCTCTAGGAGTATCTGATGCTTCTCACTGCATGGACACCTTTGCTTCCATACATTAAAAACAAAAACAAAAAAAAACTTTAATTAAAAAAAAGAATGCTCCATAAAAAGAAATGTGTATTTACTGTACTATACAATAAATATGCACATATACACACAACTTCATGAAGAGGTAATATGGTAATATGGTAAAACACACATGAAAGAAATGGAGGGGTGGGCTGGAGAAATGACTCAGTAGTTGAGAATGCTCGCTGCTCTTCAGAGGCTCAGAGTTTGGTTCCTAGCACCCAAAATGGGCAGCTCACAATCTCTTGTAATTCCAGCTCCAAGAGGGTTCCAACACTCTGTTCTGGCCTCCACAGTCAACCTCACACAGATAAACACACAAAGATACAAACAAAATGAAATTTAAAAAAGAAAGCAAAAGAAAAAGAGAAAGAGAAAGATAGATGTTAGGATACCTGTGACTAGCCAGCATCAGCTATCAAACTAGGTTTTCATAAACTCTTACCTTGATCCACACTGTTTCACTGAGAAAGCTGAATGGTATGGATGGATTATCTGGTGTCTGCTTGGTTAGAATGTTGAAATTAATGGACTCTTTGGCAAGTCGGGGTGGAGTTCCAGTCTTCAGTCTTCCTACCACAAACCCCAGCTTCTCCAGAGTCTGAGCCAACCCTATAGCGGGCTGATCCCCCAAACGTCCTGCTGGATGCATCTCCAATCCAATTACCATCATGCCTCTCAGAAATGTCCCAGTTGTCAGAATCACACTCTCTGCATAAATTGTACTTCCATCTGCTAAATGATTAGAAAACAAAACCAGTAAACTAATTTTCTGATTGTTACTAGAGAACAAAATAGAATGTGAATACTTTCTATCAAGAATACAGTAAAACTTCCTGTCTCTAGAAATGTGAGAATTTTTATAGTTATTTTTAAAACTTTATTAAAGTACAGCTAGGTGTGGTGGCACATGCCTTTAATCCCAGCACTCAGAGGCTGTTGGATCTTTTTGAGTTTGAGGCCAGCCTGATCTACAGAGTGAGTTCTAGAGATATACAATGAAACCGTGTGTGTGTGTGTGTGTGTGTGTGTGTGTGTGTGTGTGTATTTGTGTATGTGTGAAGCACACAAGCACAGTGCAGTTAGTAAAGATCCATTTAGAAAATTATGGACTGGAAAGATGTCTCAGCGGTTAAGAGGACTGGCTGCTCTTGAAAAGGAACTGGGTTCAATTCCCAGGACCCACATGACATCATACAACTGTCCATAACCCCAATTTCAGGGGATCAAAACCCTCTTCTGGCTTCTGCAGGTACCAGGCATGCACATGATACACACACACACACACACACACACACACACACACAGAGGCAAACACACATACACATAAAATAAAAATACATATAAGAAAATTTGCTGATTTTAGACTTTTGGCCAAATATGACATGGTTTCTTCATCCTTCTAAAACTGTCAGAACCTTAAAGGAATAAAAAAAAAAAAAAAAAAAAAAAAGAAAAAAAAAGGCCTTGCTTGTGGTGGCATGTGCCTTTAACCCCAGCAATTGGGAAGCAGAGGCAGGCAGATCTTTGTGAGTTCAAGGCCATCCTGGTCTTAAGAGCAAGTGCCAGGACAGGCTCCAAAGCTACACAGAGAAACCCTGTTTTGGAAAAAAAAAAAAAAAAAAAAGCAGGCTGAGCAACTCAAGGGGAATAAGCCAGCAATAGCACCCCTCCATGGCCTCTGCATCAGCACCTATCTCCAGGTTCTGTTTGAGTTCCTGCTCTAACTTCCTTCAATGATGGAATATGAATATGAAAGCATAAACCAAATAAACCCTTTCTTCCCCAGGTTGCCTTTGGTCATGGTATTTCGTCATAGCAATAGTAACCCTAACTAAGACAGAAATGTAGGAATAAGTGATACAGCTCAGGTGGTAGAAGATTTGCCAGACATGCAAACCCTGGGTTCAAATCCTGGCATTACATAAATTAAGCATGATGGCACATGCCTATAATACCAACACTTAACAGGTAGGGGCAGGAGAGTCTGAAGTTGAAAGCCATTCTCTGCTATACCTGTGTGAAATATTAAAAAGATGGGGACATGGTTGAGATGGCTCAGTGGGTAAAGATGCTTGTTGTGAAACCTGATGACCAGAATTCCATTCCTGGTACCCATATGTTTAGAGGGTACACATAAAATAACAAGTATAAAAACAAATTTATGACAGAAGAACCTGGATAAAAGACACAAACACGCAGGCTCTGGAGTTTTACACTAAAACAGTACTGATGAACATAGAATTTGACTGAGATGGTCAAAATGGAGAGACAACTGGGCGTTGGTGGCACACGCCTTCAGAGGCAGGCGGATCTCTGTGAGTTCGTGACCAGCCTGGTCTACAAGAGCTAGTTCCAGGACAGCCTCCAAAGCCACAGAGAAACTCTGTCTCGGAAAACAAAACAAAACAAAACAAAACACCCAAAAAAACCATAGGACTGTTTACATAATTTTCCTCTTCCAGACAAGGAAAACAAGAATCTCCTGGCATGGGAAAAACATCTGTTCTCTGTCTCAAGCGAACATTGCACTGGGTCTGGCGTGGTGGCATGAGCATTATAGCTGGTACATACCCAAAACAACACCCCTGACCCGGCACTTCCCAGGGGATCCAGGCTCTGGTTCTGTAAGAACTAGATCTTCTACAGCTCCCTCTTGAACTGTGAGCAGGGGTGTATTCAGGACTTCCTTCTGTTAAGAGAGAACACCAGTCGACAAAGAGGCTGAAGAAGCCCACAGTCCTCCCTGTCCTCACCTTTGCTCACCTGCATGTTCTGTTTATAAAGTTTTCTATCAATCTGTGCTCTCAGCCCCCACACAGCAGGGCCCTTACGCCGGTTTAATACTTTGTAATGTATACCAGACTGGTCACAGATTCGAGAACACAAGCCATCCAAGGCATCCACTTCCCTCATCAAATGCCCCTTTCCGATGCCACCAAAGGAAGGATTACAGGACATCTGACCTAAAGAGAACGGACACGATCGTGGTGAATAAACGAGTTTCTTGTTCATGTTATTTAATAAAGAGCCATTCCTACAGGTAACCAGATTCATTCTGGAAAAATCTTTCTCCTCTGACTTCACAGAGAGGAGGAGGGAATAAGCAGAGCAGGAAGTGACTCTCTATGCTCCCACACAGGGCAAGTGACTCACTCTTACTCTCCCAGTTCCTCTTGACGTGTGTCGGGTGATGTATGGGGTACACCTTTAATCCCAGCACTCTGGAGGCTGAGACAGATGGATCACACTGTGAGTTCCAAGTCAGATTAGTCTACCCAGCAAGTTCCAGACCAGCCGGGCACTGACACCCTGTCACCACAAACAAGCAACAACACCCCCAATCATCCCGTTTCAAGCTAGGGCTGCTTTTATTAAAACCGTGTATGAGAATTATTGACAGGCCTCTGAAATGTTTTTAAACATATCCCACTGCGTTGACAGAATACAGGTTTTGCACAACTGTGTATATACAGCCAAGAGAATTTAGACCTCTGTGCCGAAAAGTGTACTCCTGCGTTTAATGAAACACTATTGGCAAGAAACGTGAAAAACCGAAGGTTTATCAAGTGAAGGACGGAGCAAGAAGGCGCGGAGCACACGCTACCGCGCGCGTACCAGCCAAGTCTTAGGCACGAAACCCTCAATGGAAATACAGGACGGAACGAGAAAGCGCCGTTTTCCACAGGGGGCTTCACAAGCTCTCGGTGAACGCAGTGTGTCGCCTAACCAAACGGGTGTGAGATGTTAATTAATTCACCCTTTCTTTGAGGTGAGAATAGCGGGAAGGTTAACACAACGACCTAGCGTGCTTTTCGCCCGGGGCGTCCACCGCACCCCTGCCCGCGCTCGCTCCGGTGCAGAGGGACCCCGCCTCCCACCACCCCTGCGCCACAGGCCG